ACCGAGGAATTTTCCCTGGGACATCTCTCATGTGTAGAACAGTGTTGCCCCCTCTGGAGAAGAAAAAGAAAGCTGCATGAAGCTGAACAGAACAACCTAATGCATCATCACTGGATACCGCTGCCTAACAGATTCAGTATGACAGCTTTGTGGTGGGAGGTGGGCTGCATCCAGAGTGTTAAATGCATCTACTCCAGAGTGCCTTAGTCTTCCCAGCATTTAGCACAAAATGACATGTCCATACAGACAGGTTACTCTTCTCTCCCCCTTAAAACAAATCCTACATGTGTAGAACAGCATTGCCTCCTCTGGAGAAGAAAAAGAAAGCTGCGTGAAGCTGAACAAAACAACCTAATGCATCATCACTGGATACCGCTGCCTAACAGATTCAGTATGACAGCTTTGTGGTGGGAGGTGGGCTGCATCCAGAGTGTTAAATGCATCTACTCCAGAGTGCCTTAGTCTTCCCAGCATTTAGCACAAAATGACATGTCCATACAGACAGGTTACTCTTCTCTCCCCCTTAAAACATAATGCTCATCTCTTGATGACACTGAACTTGGCTGCAGGTCCTTTCAAGGCATTTTTTTCATTACTTGATGTCAGGTTTTTCCATTTCAAGGAAATGAAATGACATCAGTGGGAGGAAGGCTGTGCTGCAGCCCTCCCCTTCGCCAAAAAAAAAAAAAAAGACATTTTTGTTGTCAGAAAGAGTATGCTCAGGAGCGTGGAGGACAGATTCAGGGCTGTGTGTGCGCCAAGCATGCTGCAAAAGGTGAGCACAAAGTGCAAAGAGCTAAACTTGAGATAGCTCAATCCATACTGTGGGAGGGATCTCTACCGTGAACAGTGTCTGCCTTTTTTTCAGAGAAGACAGTTTAACTGAATCACCATGAAAGAGAGCCTTAGAGAGCACTCATCTGAATATAGTAGTTCCGATCAGGAGACAGGATTAGGAATTAACTTTGTCAGTTCACCTGAAAAAATGGATCAGTAAAACCCTGGGTTGAACCAGAGAGTTCCTTGCAGAGCTCTGAATGAAAAGATTGGGCATTTTTCATGCTCCCAGGGAAAATAAATGCATAAATACAATTAGGAGCCTCCTCCTGGCTTTAGCCTTTGTACAATCTGCAAACTTGCCCTTATCCAGGTGTAAAACTGCTTCTACAGGTAAATACAGACTCTGCAAACACCGTAAACATAAAGCCCATGCTGATTTTCCAAGAATGGGAGCTAGCTCTTAGCCACAAGATCTGGGGGTCGCTAAACACATGTGAACAATTTTACCTGAAAACTTTCTCGATTCACAAACACAAGACCAGATAAATTGCTAACAAAAGAGTCACCAGGGAAATACAAGCCACTTGAAGGTTAATAAATTCTAACTAATTAAATTCTTACAAAACATAACTTCCCAGCAGTATGTAGTTTAATGAAGGTCCTAAAGCAGCAGAGAGCCTCTCAATAGCCTACAATTCCTACTGACTATTATATCTTCCACATTTTCCTAAGTTTTTAGAGTGGGAGGAAAGAGTCGGTTTGTTCTCTCTCACAATTAAAATGTTCAAATGACAACACAAGTCATTCAATACTCAGGTGTTTGCTTTCCTCTGCTTTGCACAGTTCTGAACTCAAAAGAGTCCACCAATATTTTTGTTCTGCGTTTTCATTCTAATAGTCTGATATTTTAAATCTGTGACAGAAGAAATGAATCAACTTGAGGGTATCCCAGTGAGAGAGGACAGGGCTATTCTTCAGCTAGCAGCTCCAGGTGCTTCATCTCTGCTTCAAGTGCCAGTGCAATACTCTTGCAACCATAGCTTTAAAGTGCCGATCAGCTGATCAGGATAACACTGAGCCTGTCACTTCCTCAAATGGTTAGCAACACAAAGGAGAGTTTAAAGCCCGAGTAGAGGCTCCAAGCTCATTATGTCAAGAATTGTCAGGGATCTAAGTTTTTTTTTTTTTCTCTCCCCAGTAAAACAAATCATATAGTACAAAGCATAGTGGCACAAAATTTCCAAGTGCAATTCAAAGTACTGTCAGGATTTAGACTCATTTTCTGGCAGATTACAAAGAACTGGCTAATATAGTAGAATGGCCTGTCCACATAAAGTCTCAAGAGGAAGGAAGAGGTGCTTATTATAAATTAGAGACAAAACCAACTCAACGCCTTCCCAAAACAAACAGCAAACCTCTTACAGCCCTTCCTGCCTCATTGCAAATTAATGTGCAGCCACAAGGGGGGAGCATAACCCAATACTTCACTTTTTTTAATTTTGTGTTTTTGGACAAAATTTGAGATTGCTGCGCATAACAGCAAATGGGAGGCAGAATGGACATATAACAGTATATTATCAAATACTGGAGTAATTCCAGGCTTAAATTAACAATGAAAAGGTACTACTAGGTAATGCTGTTTGTTTCTACCCTTGTTTTGTAATGATCTCAGATGCAAAACAGAAAGTTCAGGATCTTCTTTTTCCCTTTACAGACAGGCATATTATTACTTTTCTCTGTTTCTCCAAAGTAGGGGAATAAAGGCATAGGGTGTTAGGCTACTTTATGCCAAGGTGGAATGGGTAATAGAACACAGGAAGCATTAACACAGGAAGTTCCACCTCCATATGAGGAAGAACTTCTTTACTGTGAGGGTGACAGAGCCCTGGAACAGGATGCCCAGAGAGGTTGTGGAGTCTCCTTCTCTGGAGATCTGAAAAACCCGCCTGGATGCCACCCTGTGCCACGAGCTCTGGGTGTTCCTGTTGGAGCAGGGGGTTGGACTAGATGATCTCTAGAGGTCACTTCCAACCTCAACCATTCTGTGATTCTGTGTGATTCTGTGATTCTGTTAGCATCCTTCTTTCTCTGCAGTCTTTTAGAGGGCCTACAAAAGTTGGGACTATGCGTAAGTTATTATGAATAAAAGTTGAGACACTCTTTAAACTCTCAAAGGCTTTTACCCCATTTATCAGCTCCCAGTCTAATGGCCCATGCATAGGAATCTAGCTAAATCTCTGGCAGCCCAGTGTGTAAAAAGTTTGCTCTAAAGCCTCCAGGAAAAAGAAAGAAAAGGAAAAAGTCTCTCTAGAGCCCTTAACCCTATAGAGCAGTGAGAGAGTCATCAGGATGTGTCTAGTTGGCCTAAGAGAGGTGATGTGGATCTTGCCAGGGTGACAGCCCACTCCATGGTGGGCTGGTTTGCTGGAATCTGGTTTGCTGTCCTAAGTGACACAGGCCAAAGAAACTCCCTCAACAGTTTCTACATCAAACCCTGATTTACACTATGTCCTATATAAATGAATCCATATCACAGGCAAAAGTTAGAAGTCAAGAAGAGCCTCCTACATCTCCCTCTTCTGCCAGAGAGCATATTCCAGTAGTTAAAAATCCCAACACTACTTTGCAGAACTCACCCAGCTTCATTTTTCAGTCTTTGAATCGCATCAGGCTTTCTTTCTGTTGTCACACATTTCTTCCCATGATCACATTAGCTGTTAACCTTCCTTTGGAGCTTAGTTTTATGAGCTCCTTGTCAGCCTCTGGGATTTTTTTCTAAATTTCTAACCTTCTGATAAATGATCCTTAATCTCTCTGTCATAAACTTTAGCACTGAGGTCAACAACAAAATCAACCTGTAAATTCTCTGGCTCCCTGCTATTCTATGACCTCTAGACAATAATCCCAGCCCAAGTGCACATCTTTTAACGAGCTGGAAGTTCAGACACATGGCTCCATCTGGATTTTTAAGGTGCCTGTCTTTTGGAAATATATACTGACTTTATCAAGCATCTTTGAAGAAATGAGGAAAATAAAAAGATGTGTAAATGTTCTATTGATGGCTGCTTATAGCATTTTCTCTTCATACTTTGTCCTGTTGCAGCTGGTGGTAAGAATGAATAATGAGTCTGAGTGAATGAGCACATGGAACAGATGTGATGCTTCCTCACAGGTCTTCTTGTTCCCCCTAGCAAATGCTTCCTCCATGTAACTCAAACTGAGGTTTGGCCCTTTATCTTCTTCAACTAGGACTACTCACCACCACCTCCGGAGAGCATCCTGACCAAAGGAGTGAGTCTGCCCTTCACAGGGGAGTCATAAAGCTACCATCTGTTTTGATGTACAGAAACTGAGCACAGTCTCCATGAGTCCATGAGTGCAGAGCAGTGAAGGAGCTATTGCTACGTTTTATATATTGCAACTAATGGCCACCACTTCTTTCATCCCCCCATAAAACATCCCATGATATGCCTGCTACCTGTTAGGCCTGAGAAAGTAGATTAGGAATGAGCAGGTAGTGGGAGGGCACTCAGTGAAACCATCAGTCTGAAAGCAACCAAGGAAAGCTACTTTTTCTCCCAGAACATAGTTAAATTGCTAAATGCTTTACCATGGGATATTACAGCAGGAAAGCACTAGATACAACCCGCTACCACTCACATGTGCGTCCTGCACTGGGACACAGATAACGGCACTGCTTCCCCTCCAGCTGCAAGTCTTTTTGCAGAGAAAGGCAGGGAATACAGAGCGTGGATTTTGACAGCTGCCTGTATTCACAAGGGTTGTTTGGCGCAGCATTTTCCCCCCAATTCTGGTGTTTGTCCAAAAAAAAAACAAGAAAGATGTTCCTGAAATTTGCCTCAAGACTAAGAATCAGAAAATAAGAAAATCAGCTCCAGTTGTACATCAGATTTCTTGTATAACCTCAAGCAAAATTACATGCTCTCTAAGAAAGAGGATAACATTTATTTCCAATTACCATTTGCAGTTTTGATCCTTTAGACTGCAAGCTATTCAGTAGGAGGCTCTCTCTTTTTATAGGTATATATTATAACATGTGTAATAGGACCTTGATCTCATTTGTGGGAATTTCTGAACTACTGTAATAAATCCAAGGATTTATTGCAGATATCTTGCAGACATTCTGTGCCGGCAAATTTCAAAATAAAGCACCGACATAATTGCAAAACATGTTTGTTATATTAACACATAAATATATTAACATATAAATGTTACCTGTCAAAAACTGACAAGACTTCTGCCATACTAGGTGCTAACATTTATCTTATGATCTATTACCACATGTTTATACACCTTTCATCATTGTAGCTTCTGCATCCCTTGCACGTAGAGTCACTATAAGCAATTATTAAATTCCTATTGCATTTCTTAGTATTTCTCCCTTATGAGTTCAGATTTCCAACTAGAGAAAGATTTGCTTATTTTTCTGCTATACAGCTAATATATCAGAATATAGAACTTCGTGTTGTATAATCTCTATGTTGGAGCAGCTTTTCCAAAAGGGAAGGTTTGCAGCTTTTCCTAATGATGGCCAGATTCACCAGCTCTTTTTTTTGGAAATATATTCCATGGCTACTGGGCCTTCAATATACGATAAAAAGAAATCAATGGGGGAAAAAAAGAGAGAATTTTCATTTCTGAAAATGTATAGCTGGATTTACTGAGTGAAATGTACAATGATTTTTTTTTGAAGGAGATGAAGGTGAAAAAGGAGATAGAGGAGAAGTAGGAAGGCAAGGAAAAGTTGGACCAAGAGGACCAAAAGGTATTTATGACAGTTTGTTGACTACTAGTGGTGTGTGAATAACACTATGTACAACTGTTGTAGTGCATAAAAACACGGATGTTTAATACTTTTCATTCCTGTTGCCACAGTGAATTTCACAATGCTTGTCAAAAATTAATCAGTGAACCTGACAATGCTCCTGAGAATTTAGTGCAATTCCTTCCGGGATGGGAGACAGCTAGAGCTGGCAATAAATTTAAACACTCAAGTAATAAACCATCTACTATTGCTCTCCCAAGTGGCTAACACATCCGAGATCCAGGAGACTGCCCAGATCACATGTACAACCAGAACGATTACTTTTCCATAAGTGAAACAATACTTTAGGTGAAACTGAATTTTGAGAGTTACTTCTTAGTAATCTACCAAGACGTTCAACAAAATCTAGTCTCAGTTGTCCCTGTTTGGCAGATCAGCAAACTGAGGAACACACTGAGAAGGGAACTTCCTCTGATCAAGCAGCATCTATGCTGGGAACAAAGCACCTATGATTTATCAGGTCTTGATGCTATTAAGCCTGTCCAACATCTACATAAAGAGCTGCGCAGCACATTCTGACGCACCAGACATTATCACGTTAGCCTGGTTTGCATGCCGTAACTCAAGAGTTTCGTATATAATTAGGGCTTAATGTTAACGCATATCTGTGTTCTTTCTTCCTCAACAGTGATCTAATGTTTTAAAAGTAACCCAGGAAGATTTTACTTGAATAGAATCTTTAAAAACAGCCTCTTACTATTGTTAGAATTAAAATATTTTTCATTTCTATATACACTCCTGTGACTTTATTTCCTATTTTAAAGAGAAATTCAGTAAGATAAAAGGAGATCAGATAATAAACCATTTACAAAGCATCTTAATGATGTTCAGTGTTGGTGTGAAAACTGAAACTCCCTAAATTGGGATCTCATAATTTGCCAGCTACCTCAGAACCTCACCAATCAACTAAAAAGCATCCATTATTTTGTTGCTCTGAGGACTGGGCAAGCACAGAAAGCAAAGGCAGTACCTCCTTATCTTGCTTTGAGAAGGACTCCCAGCAAAGCCACGAGGACTAAACCTCAAGAAAAAAAAAAAAAAAAAAAAAAAGGAAGAATCTTTGCCCATGGTACAGAGAAAGAAAGAAGAGACAGAGAGAGAGAGAGAGAGAGAGCAAGGCTAGCTTGGTTATGGAGTTAAAGCAGTATCTGAATACTCATTAGTAGTTTTACTTTGTCTTGCCTGTAAGAAATATGACAACATGAAATTGTGACAGCCAGGGCTTTCATGGAGACCCCACATTAATCTGGCTCAGGCGGCTACCCCAGCAAACGGCTAATTTCACCCCAAAATGTAGCTTATTCTTTGTGGGTTTACTCCTGTACTGGCTCTCTCTAAGGTCCAACAAGTCCCAATACAAAGTAGAGGAAATAAATATAAAGCTATAGGAACAGGAAAGAAATTGGAGCATCATTTTTGGCAGCAGCTGTCTTACTGGCTTACTCCTAATACCAATACCTCATACCTTGTATTCTCACATGAGCGTATTTGTGTTAATGACCTATATTTGGACTGAAAAAGCTCAGGAAAGATACTGACGATAGAGAGCTAGATAGTGTTTTGGGAGAGAAGTTATGAAAACCATTCACACCTCTTCCCCGTACTTCTCTCAGGAAACAAAGGAACTGTGGGGGATATTGGTGATCAGGGAATGATTGGGAAAATCGGCCCAATTGGCGGAAAGGGTAAGTCCTGGTTTTGGAATTTTTTATTTTTTTGTTTGTCTGTTTTCCCTCAAATTAAGTATCTGTTTTGTGAAAGTTCCCAGTAAGGAGTAATATCAAATAATGGCTGTTATCAATGCTCTCCAAATAAACTTACATATAAAGTTTATGATTTACTTCCTACATGACATAATATTAAACTTATTTGGCTAAAATAATATGTTACATGAGTTAATAACTCAATCTTCTCAGATGATAAAAGAGAAGGGGAGAAATTTAGCCTTTGTGAAGTAAGGAGCGCAAACCCCTGAGAGTTGCAAAAGAGAAAGGCAAATTTGTGTCTCTGCTTAAGACATTGCAAGCCATAAATTAATATTTTGTTGCTGTTTGGCATGCTGCATTTCATCACCTGCGCTGGTGTTGAAGGAATTAATAACACTCAGGACTCTCAATAGAGATATGCTTTTAAGAGTTTTAAGAGAATACCTATTTAATCAGGGCAAATATTCCTTGCAAATCAAGGTAGACTCCATCTTTACCTGGATAGCAATGCCATGAAATTCTTTCTTAGTAGCCTGAGAAGACGCATAGACTTTCCCCTAAGGTGTTCCAAAATAGTGACATAAGAAGAAACACTCCTCCTGCCAGGGGACCTGCCTTGGAACAGCAGGATTCCACCAGCCTAAGGGGAACTCTGTGGTCTCTAACTCAGAAATACAGGGAGCAGGTGAAACAACCTCTCCTGAGAGCTTCTCAAGCCAACGTATTCAAGTAAACGTTTGATGGCCTCTGGCAGCCTCAGGATCAAAGAAAAACAAAAGAATTTGGCCTGAGGAAATAATTTTCAAAAGTTTCTAGACAACTGAAGACATAGATAGTTATCTCCTAAGATTTCTTTGGTCACCAAAGGAGACTAGAATTGAAGAATGCCACAAGTTGCTTATCTTTATCTTTAAGTAAATCAAAGCTCTCAGCCTTTAAATAAACTAATCTCTCTGTTAAGCTGACTGTACACTTTATCACCCCTTTTATTTGGAATATTTTTTTCCTTCTTTCTTTTTATTTTTTTATTTGGAGAAGAAAAGGACACTCAGTCACTATTTAGATTTACTGCTATTCAAGTTCTTAAACAAGTCTGAAATTTCAGCTTGTAAATGTGCAAGGTGTCAAACAATGCTAATTAAAATGCCAGTCAACTCCTGGTTTCACATTAAAAATAAAATCATTTAAAGGACAAGACATGTCAAAATATGGTCAAAAAGAGAGGAAATATGGACATTATTTGGCCTCTGGAGGTTTTAAATCATAAAAGCAGAGATCTTGTGCTTAATCTTCAAATGGAGGTATTGAATCCACAAAAAGGCTCTGTCCTGCAAGGCAGTGAGAGAACCCAGGTCTCCCCTCCCATGGGTTTCTTGGGTGCTTTCAGCCTTGCAAGATCATTGTGTAGTTTATATTCAAAGCAAGTGGTACCAGGAACGAGCAGCACACAAGATGCTTGCATTATCAGTGGGTTAGCTATTAAAGGGTTCTCCTTATTCCCATTCATCAGAATTAATCATGGGTTGTTTGACTTGGCACACCTGCTAATACAGTCCATCAGGGATTTCTACCAGAAGCAGACCATTAGTATATTATTAAACAGGTGTTTCTAATATGTTCTCCTGACATGCACTGTCTGAGTATCCATTTTCTTTTTTATGCAGGTGACAAAGGAGCCAAGGGCTTATCAGGGGTGTCTGGAAAAAAGGGGAAAGCAGGTACGTTACCTATCTTTCTCTTGAGAGTGTTTGAGTATGATGATTCTTTAACTTCAGGGTTGGCTGTTTGAATTTGATTTCCACAAAATTCTGGGGCCAACAAAGTGATAAGCTTCAGAATAGACGACACAAACAGAAGGAAACTAGAAAAGCTGCTTAGCAAAATGAATGCTGGGTAGGGACATGACAAATAGCTATGAATACACCAACACACACATCAAGATGGACAAGAGGAATGGAAATTAATGGACAGTGACTGATAACATTAAAAAAATGTATAAATAGACCAGGAATACATTTATATTGGAAACTAGAAGAAAGTTTCTGAACATTGAAGGAAAAAAGTCCTTTAATAGGCTCCAATAGGAGAGTGGGGACAAAAGAATAAGTCTTTGTAGATAAGAGTATAAGTTGTAGAACCTTAAATGTTTTCCCACCTTCAATGTACATCTGTAATCATTTTTACACATTTTATAGGCAATGCCACTTAGGTTCTGAATAGGAAACTGTCAGCAACTTCTTCTCTCCCTGACAACAGGTTCAAATAAAATCTATACAAAGTCAAATTTTAGTTTACTAACAAAAATATAACTTAGCCTTCAGCGCTCAAAAGCTATTGATTATTTGAGCTGGTGTAAATTATTTCTGCTGCCAGCTGCATGCCTCACTAACATGGTCCGCCTCACAAAGAAAAGGAACCTCTAGGCACTCTCAGACATCTCCCTTCACTGAAAAAAGCACAGTTCCTCACTACATAGATACTGTTGTTTACTTCAGAAGGCTGAGGATTCAGTAGTGTTTATGGCTATGCAGAACAAAGAGCTTTGGCATTCAGATCATGGTGAAAAAACACATCCCTAAACTTGATGGAATTAAAAGTGAGAGGTGGCAGAGAATGTATAAATTCTGCACTGATACAGGTGGGTGAAAGGTGGTAAACTATGACTCTTCTACAAAGAGGGATACTTTTTCAAACTTAGGGATGATTAAGCATGTTAACAAGGGAGTGTACAGAGGCAAGATATGGAGTGCTTTGGTCTAAAGGAGTACAGCCAGTATGATAGGGTGAAACTATTCTCCACAAGTTGAGGCTGAGTCTTTAGAAGGCTTGAAAGAGGATTATAGCTGACCCACCACACACACATATGCTTCTAAATAAATGAATTCTCTGTCCTTTGTATTGCATCAGGTACAGTCTGTGATTGTGGTAGGTACCGCAGAGTTGTTGGACAACTGAACATCAACGTCGCTCGGCTTAACACGTCTATCAAATTTGTAAAGAATGGTAAGCATCATCATGTCTTGACATGTTTTATATGCTCTTACAACATTTCTCTTTGTTTTTTCTTCTATCATCACTGTTTTAGAGCAGTATGAGGAAAAAGACCAAATCATATGAGGCATTCTCAAAACATATCACAGTCTTGCCTCTGCAAGGACACATGCAGCAGATGAATAGAAGCGAAAACAGTACAGAAGTGATCAATAGTATGATCGAATGAATCATGAAACGCACCCGGCACAGATTGCTAAATGCCTCAGCAGAGCTCACCTTCAGGCTCAGTGACCTCTCAGGCAACAAAAGAAAACAGCTTGTGCCAAGCTGCTCATAGTGCCAGGAAAGGTGATAAGAATCTCTTGACCTCTTTATTGTACAGGAGGCTGTATGTTTTGCAGTCCTGGAGTTCCCCCCAGTGAAAGCACTATTCTTCCTGTAGTACAGGAGATAATGACACCCCATAGACATGGGTTATAAGGAGTCTTGCTTGTAGGCAGTACTGTCAGTTGGACAGTGGAAACTGCCCCTACCAAAAGGAAGGAAGGGAATATTCTGGTGCGGCACAGCTTTCTGAAAGGGTTGCACATTACACTGTTCTTTGAAAGGGTGCATAGTCCTATAGACCAGGACTATGTCTATATCAGTAAATCAAATGTGTTTATGACCATTCTCTGGCACAGTGAGCAACTGTCGTAAAGCAGCTTTCATCTATATTCAGCCTACAAAACCAAATGGCCTGTGGCCATCAGGAATGGTCTGTGGCCTCTGCTAGCTCCTAAACTGTGCCAGGCATAGGTCTTGAATTGTTTTGCAAAGCTTTAGTTACCACAGGTTAAATCTGTCCCTGGGACCCTTGCAGCAGCCTAAAGGCAGAGACAATCAACTTCCTGCACCCAGGAGTCCTCCTTGACACTGTTTAATTTGCTAGGATAGATATTGCTTGAGAAATTTGGCTTTTAAAGCTGCTGAGCCTCCAAAGCCCCTTTTATAGTCAATGCATACTTAGTAGCTACAGCAGCTCTGAGAATATGGCTCTCATCTCTCATTTTAGCAATCATATTTAATAACATTGACTTAGCTCTACATGGAGAGGACTTGAAAGCTATTCATAATCTTGTATTTCCATTACAGAGCACTCTTTTAAATCTGTGTTCAATAAAAAGTAAAGCGACTGAGATGGTCGAGAACTAAACCCTGCTAATTGTCCATTTAGCGCGCTATGATGGGATCATTTTACTTCAGTGATGTTTACTGTCTCAGGAGATGCTTTTCAATCAGGACTGAAGAGCTCTTGTCCTAACTTGTGTAAGATGCTCATCTGGCATCTTACTGGCATTAGCCAGTCTCTGATCCAGTCATCAATGTTCATCGCAAGTTCAGATGCAGAAACACTTCTTTCCTCTCTCCCTTTGATTAATTCCAGTGTAAAAATAACTTTATTGTGATACCTGAACAGAAGCATCTTCAATATATTTTGAAATGTCATTGAGCTTTTTTTTTTTTTTTTTTCTCTAAAGTTATAGCAGGCATCAGAGAGACAGATGAGAAATTCTATTACATTGTCAAAGAAGAGAAGAATTACAGAGAAGCCTTGATCCACTGCAGGGACAGAGGAGGAACACTAGCAATGCCTAAAGATGGAGCAACTAATGCCCTGATTGCTGACTACATCTCCAAGAGTGGCCTCTTCCGAGCATTCATTGGAATGAATGACATGGAAAAAGAAGGACAGTTTGTGTATGCAGACAATACTGCACTCCAGAACTACAGTAATTGGAAGGAAGGGGAACCAAATGACCCAACTGGTCGTGAGGACTGTGTGGAAATGCTGAGCACAGGAGAGTGGAATGATTCAGAGTGCCAGGTTACCATCTACTTTGTCTGTGAATTCCTCAAGAAGAGAAAATAAAAGTGGCACAGAATGTGCCTGGTGTTTTATGTACATACAATAACCCAAATAACCCCTGATCCCTTGTAGGAAAAGCAGATTAAAAAGCATAGGGCATTCAGTTCAGCTTTCACTTCACTGGGTTAAGGATGAGTAACTACTGCTGAGCTAGCTCACAGTGACCCTGAAGACAGCTCAAGTCTGCAGGTATTGACATCCAGCCAGTAGTGAATTTATATTTTCTTTTTTGGCTCTTTTTTTTTCCTCTTTTTGGTACAATTTAGGATGGTTGGGCATATTTAGAGTATGCATAGGTGAATATGACTTTGCTAATGCCAGAAACAGTAAAGCCATTGGTAGATTAATTACTGATATGCTTCACAAAGTCTATTTATCTTCGACCTGCATACAAAATCCCAGCATTTTCCCTGGTGATTTCAGACCTGAAGGGACACATTTCCAGTTTCTGTTGAAAATAATCCTTCCTTTGTTAGAATCATAGAATAATTGAGGTTGGAAGGGATCTCTGTTGATCAATTGGTCCCATGTTCCATGTAAAGCAGGGCCAACTTCAAAGTTAGATGAAAAGTGACTCCTCCCTTGCTTGTGACTGTGCAATTATATTGCCTGATATACAGAAGAGGAGTCACATATCTCTACTTCTCGCTCCATCAATCCCTGAGGCTGGTCTAAGGTGTGAGGAATTAACTTAGTCCTAGCACTGATGTTCCTCTGCAGGCAAGTCTGAGCAGCTTTTATGCAACTTGAGAATAAATGGAGCACTTCTAGCTTCTGAAATCCTCCAAAAGCTGCTAAATAGAAAAGTCTAGTACAAAGGGAACTGTATAAAGGAAGCATCATTGCTGTAGCTTATAAGCAGGCACATGCAGATTAATTTATACAAATGCACATTGCTGCTGGTTTAACAAGCAATTCTAGGAACATGCAAACTCCCTAACTCAGTAGCAGTGATGTTTGATATCTAATGCTAAAATCACCCATGCATTTGCAACATAATAATCAGCTAAACACCAACACCCATGGAACGAGCTTTGCCCTCCAAGCCCTGAACTGCATGTGGCTGAGCAACTTAATCACACACTTCAGCGGGACTATTCACAAAATATCATCAGTAAGAGGCTTTGCTGCCAAGGCCTGGCTACTGAGTTTTTCATGGCATTATGCCCCAAACAGATCAGATGTTGATTTTCAGGATTTTCATTTTCAGGACCATTCTGAAGTCCAGGATGCTAGTGAGAAACAACAACCATTGTGCCTTCAGAGCTAGCCTTTTCTTACACTGACCTGAGCCTGATTAAAGGGTGACCTTACCCTTTCTCACAGGAGATGTCAGTAGAAACCTCAGGACCTCTGCAAGAGGCCTCCAACTAAACACAGAAAAGGAAGGAGAGATATCTGGAGGTTGCGGGAATTATTCCCATGTAGTAAATGTACCCTACAGGTCACTATACAACAATTGTTCACAGCGTTTCTCTAGGAATATGAGGAAGGTCACTTCGGAGCTGGACATGAAGGCAGTCTCATCAGCTAGTGATACAAAGGATTGGCTCCAAGTCGCCCTTCTACTGCTATACGCAACAATGCAAAAGCAACGGGGCAAGAGTCATGCATACACAACCTGCCCTTCAAAAGGAAAATCCTCCAAAACATTAAGCTAGTTGGTAATTTGAGTCCAAACTCATCTCTGAGCAATGACCAACCCAGAAGCCTCCCAGGAGACTCAGGACCACTCTTCTAAGCTACTTTCTCTCCTATTTATTTGTCTGGAAAACAGTTTGCTGCTACCAGCAATAAATTTCCTTGTTGCTGAACACAATTCAGGCAGCTTTTCAGACCTGTAACTGGGACCACACTTCTTTTCATGTCTCCTCTGCTATGCTATGAGAGTGCTTGGGCAAACAAGTTCACTTAACACAATGTATCCTGTGTTATTCCCTTTCTGAGAATCAACATCCCAACATCAAGCAGAATTCCACTTTTTAGGATCTACTGCAATAAACTCAGTAAGCTCAACCCATTCAGTTTTAGAATTATTAATGAATAATGATAAGGATGAATGGTTCATTCATTATGAGGCTAGGTTTCTTAATAAAAGGTAAAACCTTTTCTAAGATCAAGCCTAAAGCTGGGGAGGAATGGGAGGAATTCCTTCACTTGGGGAGGAATAACTCCAGGCACCAGTACAAATTAGGAGTTGATCTGCTGGAAAGCAGCTCCATGGAGGAGGATTTGGGAGTCCTGGTTGACAATAAGTTAACCATGATTCAGCAATGTGCCCTTGTGGCCAAGAAGGCCAACGGGATCCTGGCTGCATCAGAAGGAGTGCTGCCAGCAGGCCGAGGGAGGTGATCCTGCCCCTCAGCTCAGATCTAGAGTATGGGGTGCAGTTCTAGGCTCCCCAGTACAAGAGAGACATGTTGCTTCTAGAGAGAGTCCAGCATAGAGCCATGAAGATGATTAAGGGACTTGAAAACCTATCTTATGAGGAAACACTGAGTGAGCTCAGCCTGTTTAGCTTGGAGAAGATAAATACCGGAGGGGAGAATGTAAAGAAGATAGGGCCAAACTCGGTGGTGGCCAGTGACAGGACAAGGGGTAATGGATATAAATTAAAACACAGGAAGTTTCATCTCCATATGAGGAGATGACTTCTTTCTTGTGAGGGTGATAGAGCACTGGAACAGGCTGCCCAGAGAGGTTATGGAGTCTCCTTCTCTGGAGATCTTCAAAACTCACCTGGATGCCACCCTGTGCCACATGCTCTAGGTGTCTAGAGTTCCCTTCCAGCCACCCTGTGATTCTGTGATGCTGTGATTCTGAAACCTACTCTACGCTTACTTAGTAAGTAAGTTATATGATTGCATTTCTGGAACTGTTTGACCAACCTTGGAGCTCTGGCTGAGAGAAGCCAGAGGTGCTCTCAGTGCTGACAGTTATCAACAGGCCATTCTCCTGTTCTTTAGGAGGAAGCTTAATGCTGGGAGGAGATGAAAAAGAAGAAAAGCTTTTCTGCAGGAGCAAGCCCTGCCTGGGATTTGACCAGGTGCTTTCCTTCACTCACAAAATCAGGCAACACGTGTCTAAACCAAAACTAGTCAAAACACATGAACAATTGTGAACTCCATCTGCACTTTTTGCACATAGTCCCCTGGCAGCAAGCATGTACAGGAAGGATTCACTGTTTCAGTCTTTGGCTGTACAGCTGAGGGAAGTGAGTGAAGAACTTGTGCTGGGTTTCTTTCTCCATTCTCTTCCTCTCCTAAGATCATCACTAAGACACCATCTTCATCCTGCCTAAACTAGAAGAAAAAAAAAAAAGGTGGGGGAGAAAAGAAGTGCAATCATTTCACTCAGTATGCATTCATGTAGCATGCCATGGCTGTTCTTGTGCTCACTAGACAGAACAGGGACACTAGATGACAACAGCACAGATATTCAAGCTGGTGAGGCATAAGTCAGATTAGGTGCTCATGAAACCCCATCCTGCAGCACTGACTCAACCATTAATAAATCCTGCCAAAAGGCCTAGCCCATAGGCCAAGCCAAATAAAAGAGGCTATACCGCATAGCTCTGTGCATAGCTATACCATACAGCTCTGCACCATGTAATGCAGAAACAAGCTTGGGTCAGCACTTACTCAAATCTTCTAGCTATGTTTTCCAGAAGAAAAGTGCTCGTTATGATTAAGAATCTGAGATACAACACAGGTTTCACTGCTGACGGATGGAATGTGGTAAGTACCTAAGGTCTCTACATGAAGTGGATGGAGCCAGGAGCACAGGAAATGGTGTCTGGCTATTCAAGGTTTATGGTCTGCTGGAGTTGGGCACCAAAACCATTTTACTTAAACCCCGTATTACCATAATCAACCCCCAAAAAATCTAAGACACAGTCTCCTACTTTACTTAATAGTTTGGTGAGAAGGAGAAGATATGACTTCCATTCCCCATTGGACCTGTTCTGTGACTGATTCCTGGTTCTCCTACATGTCAGTGAATCCAAAACCACTCAACTTTGGGAGAAAATGAAAGGAGGTAGACCCACCTATAGTGTCATTTTTATTTTCCAAGTGCTTGCTCTCTAACTTAACTGCCAGCAGCACTTAAATATGACAGGCTCTCTTTTATTTCTGAAGAAGAGAAAAATGGTAACTTAACAGTTTTATATACATATTAAAATAACTTAAGAATTGTCAGAAATTATAGGATCATAGGAAAATTCAGGCTAGAGGACACCTTATGAGGTCTGCAGTTCAAAATCCCACTCCAAGCTGGATCAGCTCTGCTGTCAGACCAGGTTGCTCAGGGTTTTATTCAGTCACAATTTGAAAACCTCCAGGGATGGAGACTGCCTCTCTGGACAACCTGCTCCAATGCTTATTTGTCCCCCTGGTGAAAAAGTTTGGGCTTATACTCAGTGTTAATCTCTCTTGTTTCACCTTTTGTCCATTATTTCTTGACCTCAAGAAACAAGCCGTAAAGAGCCTGGCTTTATCCCCCTGATAACTTCCTCAGAGGTCCTGGCAGGCTGCTATCAGGTCCACCCAAAACTGGTTCCCCCAGTCCTTGCTCACAGGGCTTCAGACCTTGACATTTGGGGACCTTACCTGAACTTGCTCCAGTTTTTCAATCTTTCCTGAATCAGGAGGTTCAAAACTGGATGCAGCATCTGATGTGGTCAAACAAGTGCTGAGTAGACGATAATCCATTCCTTCGCTCAATCTCCTGGCTGTGCTCCTGCTAACGAAACCCAAAATACTATTAGCTTTCTTTGCAGCCAGGGCATGCTCCTGACTCACAGACATCCTGCTGTCTAAAAGGACTCCCCAGAGCCTTTTTGGTCCAGTCAGTCCATCCCTCGCCTGTACTGTTGCAAGGGGTTCTGTCTTCCAGTTGCAGGATTAAGTATTTCGACTTGCTGAATTTAATGTTTCCTATGAGCCCGTTTCTACAGACCACATAAGTCCCTCTGAATGGTAGCCCTGCTCACAAGTATATATTGATGCTTCCCCACAATTTGAAAACCATTTGAAGTCATTT